GCCCAGAGCGGCCTCCGGCACTGTTTCCGGACAGATCCGGTGGATCCGCCGACGAATCCCAAACCGGCGCCCTCGCTTGAGACATCCTCACAAAACCGGCCCCGGGGGAGGTGCCCAGAGGAGCCCAGAGCGGCCTCCGGCACCGTTTCCGGACAGATCCGCTGGATCCGGTGGATCCGCCGACGAATCCCAAACCGGCGCCCTCGCTTGAGACATCCTCACAAAACCGGCCCCGGGGGAGGTGCCCAGAGGAGCCCAGAGCGGCCTCCGGCACCGTTTCCGGACAGATCCGGTGGATCCGCCGACGAATCCCAAACCGGCGCCCTCGCTTGAGACATCCTCACAAAACCGGCCCCGGGGGAGGTGCCCAGAGGAGCCCAGAGCGGCCTCCGGCACCGTTTCCGGACAGATCCGGTGGATCCGCCGACGAATCCCAAACCGGCGCCCTCGCTTGAGACATCCTCACAAAACCGGCCCCGGGGGAGGTGCCCAGAGGAGCCCAGAGCGGCCTCCGGCACCGTTTCCGGACAGATCCGGTGGATCCGCTGGATCCGACGAATCCCAAACCGGCGCCCTCGCTTGAGACATCCTCACAAAACCGGCCCCGGGGGAGGTGCCCAGAGGAGCCCAGAGCGGCCTCCGGCACCGTTTCCGGACAGATCCGGACAGATCCGGTGGATCCGCCGACGAATCCCAAACCGGCGCCCTCGCTTGAGACATCCTCACAAAACCGGCCCCGGGGGAGGTGCCCAGAGGAGCCCAGAGCGGCCTCCGGCACCGTTTCCGGACAGATCCGGTGGATCCGGGATCCGGATCCGCCGACGAATCCCAAACCGGCGCCCTCGCTTGAGACATCCTCACAAAACCGGCCCCGGGGGAGGTGCCCAGAGGAGCCCAGAGCGGCCTCCGGCACCGTTTCCGGACAGATCCGCTGGATCCGCCGACGAATCCCAAACCGGCCCCGGAGGGCCCCGGGGGAGGTGCCCATGGAGCCCAGAGCGGCCTCCGGCACCGTTTCCGGACAGATCCGCTGGATCCGGTGGATCCGCCGACGAATCCCAAACCGGCGCCCTCGCTTGAGACATCCTCACAAAACTGGCCCCGGGGGAGGTGCCCAGAGGAGCCCAGAGCGGCCTCCGGCACCGTTTCCGGACAGATCTGGACAGATCCGGTGGATCCGCGCCCCGGGGGAGGTGCCCAGAGGAGGAATGAGGAGGAGGAGGAGGAGGAGGAGGAGGAGGAGGACGAGGAGGAGGAGGAGGAGAAGATGATGGAGCTGTAGGGTGGATGAGGACAGACGGAGGCAAGAGAAGGATGGAAGAGGAGGAGGAGGAGGAGGAGGAGGAGGAGGAGGAGGAGGAGGAGGAACCTCATCCTCACCCTCGCCAACAGGCGCACGCACCTTCTTCTATATACAGAAACTCCCGATCAACCGCAGAGCGGCCGGCTAGTAATCATGATGATGTCGATTATGATGATTCTGATTATGATGAAGATGCTGCTGATGATCATGCTGATGCTGCTGATGATGGTGATGATGATGATGGTGAGGACGCCGATGCCGCTGATGATGTGATGATGCTGATGCTGATGTGATGATGATGATGCTGATGATGCTGCTGATGCTGATGATGATGGTCATGATGATGATGATGATGATGATGATGATGATGATGATGATGATGATGATGATGATGATGATGATGATGATGATGGTGATGATGATTGATGATTGATGATGATGATGATGATGATGATGATGATGATGATGATGATGATGATGATGATGATGATGATGATGATGTTGGTGTTGTTGGTGATGATGATGATGATGATGATGGATGAGATGATGATGATGGATGATGATGATGATGATGATGATGATGATGATGATGCTGATGCTGATGCTGATGCTGATGCTGATGATGATGATGATGCTGATGATGATGATGATGATGATGATGATGATGGATGATGCTGATGCTGATGCTGATGCTGATGCTGATGATGATGATGATGCTGATGATGATGATGATGCTGATGATGATGATGATGATGATGATGATGATGATGATGGTGATGATGATGATGATTATGCTGATGCTGATGCTGCTGCTGATGATGATGATGCTGATGATGATGCTGATGCTGATGCTGACGGCTCCGAAGAAGTCGCGCGACCAGACGCGGGGAGCCGGGGCGGGTACGCAGCGAGCCGCGGGAGGCGCGCGGGGAGCCCCCTTCCAAGAGGATCTTCCGCGTGCCGCGGGGCCGCCCGCCGCGCCGCCGCCTCGGGCGCCCCGAGTGGTGCCGAGTGCGACGCGCTGGGCGCCCCGTCGCCGGGCAGCGACGCCGAGGGCTCCTGGCGCCGAGGGCTCCTGGCGCCGAGGGCAGTAGGCTTACCAGTTTGAAACATATCCCTATCCCTATCTTTGACATCACCTCACCTTGATGCCGATTTTAAGGATTCCCTCAGTTTCTGAGGGCCTATCCCTAAGATTGTCCTCGCTTTTTGCTCGCCCATCTTAGGGATAGGGATAAGTTCGAGGCCGATTATAGGCGACCCGAGGGGCCCGCAAGCCAGGCCTCCTGGCGTCGCGCGAAGAACTTGACGGAAGTGTTTCGTGCTCTTCCGGCGAACGAGCAGCACGCACCCACACCCAGGAGGGGGAGGAGGGAGGAGGGCCAGGAGGAGGGAGGAGGGACGGAAGGAGGGAGGGAGGGAGGGAAGAAGGGAGGGAGGGTTGGAGGGAGGAGGACGAGGAGGAGGAGGAGAGGGATGAGGAGGAGGAGGAGGAGGAGGAGGAGGAGGAGGAGGAGGAGGAGGTGGATGGAGAGTCAGGGATGAGGCGAAGGATTTGAGGACATTCCACTTCATGCCGCGGGAGCACGGTGGCGGATCCACGAGCAGCGGTGATGAGGCCCTCCCCGAAGGGGAAGATTGGGGATGGCGGACAAGGCAATGCTTTGAACTTCCTGAGCTTAGCGGGCCGGTGGGATCATGATGTTGATGATTGTGATGTTGGTGATGGTAATGCTGATTGTAATAATGGTGACTGCGATGGCGATGGTGATGACGATGTCGATCATGTTGGTGGTGATGATGGGACTGATGACGACGATGGTGATGGTGATGATGATGATGATGATGATGATGATGATGATGATGATGATGATGATGATGATGATTATGATGATGATGATGTGATGATGATGATGCTGCTGCTGATGGTGATGGTGATGGTGATGATGATGATGCTGATGATGATGATTATGATGATGATGATGATGATGATGATAAAGGAGATGGTGGTGATGCTGGTTATAAATGTGAAGGTTCTGATGCTGATGGGCATGATGAGTATAATGATGCTGATGCCGATGACCAGGATGTTGTTGTTGATGATGATGCCGATGACGATGATGATGTTGTTGATGACGATGACTATCGGGATTATGATGAGGATGTTGACTATGGTTATGATTCTGATTATGATTTTGATTATGATGATGGTCATGATGATGATGATGATGATGATGATGATAAGAGATGATGATGATGATTATGATTATGATGATGCTGATGATGATAATGCTGCTGATGATGATTATTTTGATGATGATGCTGCTGATGCTGCTGATTGTGATGGTGCCGATCACGCTTATGATGATGCTGTCGACGCAGATAGTTGCGATGACGATGACGACGATGATGAGGATGATGAGGCTGATGATGATGATGACGATGATGATGATGCTGATGATGATGATGATGATGATGATCACGATGATGGTCATGCGAATAATGATAGTGATTATGATTACGATGGCGACAACGATAACGATGATGCTGCTGATGATGGTGATGCTGACGATGATGAGGATGATGATGGTGAGGGGGGTGATGACTGTTGTGGTGGCGATGAGATGATGGTGATGATGAGGATGATGATGAGGATGGGGATGATGATGATGATGATGATGCTGGTGATGCTCGTGAATGCTGATGATGATGATGCTGATGATGCTCGTGAAGAGATGATGCTCGTGATGCTGGTGATGATGCTGATGATGATGATGATGGTGTTGCTGTTGCTGCTGATGATGCATCCGATGCTGATGTTGATGATGCTGTTGTTGCTGCTGATGGTGATGATGATAGTGATGATGCTGATGTTGATGATGACGACGACGATGACGATACTGATGATTATGACGATGATGATGGTGTTGTTGATGATGATGGGGAGGATGACGATGAAGATCGGGATGATGGTGGTGGTGGTGGAGATGCGATGATGATCTTGATGAGATGATGAGGATGGGGATGATGTTGGTGGTGGTAATGAGTTGATACTGGTGATGCTGCTGCTGATGATAATGATGCTGATGATGATTGTATTGCTGCTGCTGATGATGCTGCTGCTGATGAGCATGATGTTGTTGATGATGATGTCGATGACGATGATGCTGATGCTGCTGCTGATGATGATGCTGATGATGCCGATGATGATGCTGCTGCTGATGATGCTCTGATGATGATGCTGATGCTGATGAGGAGCTGCTGATGGTGATGATGCTGATGTTGATGCTGATGCTGATGATGATGCCGATGATGATGCTGCTGCTGATGCTGATGCTGATGCTGATGATGCTGCTGCTGGTGATGACGATGATGATGACGACGACGATGATGATGATGATGATAATGATGATGATGATGATGATGATGATGATGATGATGGCGATGATGATGGTGATGGTGATGATGATGATGATGATGATGATGATGATGATGATGATGATGATGATGATGATGATGATGATGATGATGATGATGATGATGATGATGATGATGATGATGATGATGATGATGATGATGCTTTGGACGAGGATCTAAGATTCCCGCCGACCTCCCCAACCCCGACCTCCCCACCGTCGCCGCAGCAGATCGTGCGACCACGCGGCGGCGGCAGCGGATGCGTCGGCGTGCCCGCGAGGCGGCCACGAACCCGGCTGGCCAGTGAGCGGCCGGGCCGCCCGCTCCGCCCGCGAGGCACAACGGGCAAAATCGACGGTCCTGTCTGGGGAGGTGGGAGGAGGAGGAGAAAGGAGGAGGAGGAGGAGGAGGAGGAGGAGGAGGAGGAGGAGGAGGAGGAGGAGGATGGAGGAGGAGGAGGAGGAGGAGGAGGAGGAGGAGGAGGAGGAGGAGGAAGGAGGAGGAGGAGGAGGGAGGAGGAGGAGGAGGAGGATGACGGAGGACGGTGGAGGAGGAGGAGGAGGAGGAGGACGGAGGAGGAGGAGGAGGTGGAGGAGGAGGTGAAGGACGGTGAGAAGAGGAGGAAGAAGTGAGGACAACGAGGGTTTGAGGAAAATCTGGTGGGGCAAACTAGGTGCGCTGCGCCATATCTAGCATCCTACCCTCCCACCCATTCCTTCCCACTGCGCTGTTTTCTCTCTAGCCGCCGATGCGTGCCATGGCGGACGTGGAGTTCCAACACGGACACCATCGCGTCATGCGCAATCGGAACAAGGGGAACTGCGCATATTGCAGAAGGCGTGGGGGAGGAAACGGAGCGGGGCGACAACGACCAGGGAACATTGGACCCCGAAGAGGGACCCACGCTGGGTCGAGGGCGCCATTCTGAACGATGGGAGCAAAACGCCGATCCCCCAATGAGGCCAACTCTGCAGCGGGAGCACCAATCTGAGATGCCGAACACGCTCCGATACACATTGGACATGTAATGTTTGGACCCTTTAGGAACCAGGACTGATGCTTAGAGGATTGTGCAAAGCACCTGGCTACAAGCCCACTCCGTGCCCAGCGGCACGGTGGCGGATTGTGGAGGAGGAGGAAGAGCAAGAGGAGGAGGAAAAGGAGGAGGAAGAGGAGGAGGAGGAGGAGGAGGACGAGGAGGAGGATCTGGCCCCCGTGGCTCTGGGGCGTGGCTGCGCGCCTTCTGATGGCACATGCGTGTACGGCGCTGCTGGGCCGGCCCTGTGGGGACGAGAGCCTCCTGAAGACGTCGCCCAGCCAGTTCACAACCCGAACATCTCCACCCCAGGCCGGGCGGGTGGGGGACCGACCCCGTCGGCTGCCAAGCGGAGCTCGGCCACCACTGTGGACAGGATGCCTGGCTGGTATTTGTACCCCGCCCCAACCAGGCGGACCGCAGGCCAGCGCACAACCAACCTGCACGCAGCGGCACGTCGCGACGGCACTGCGTGACGGCACGGCACCAAAGGCACCGCTTGACCGCGCGGCACCACGGCACGGCGCGGCACCGCCCCCCGCGCGTGACGGCACGGCACCACGGCACTACTTGACGGCATGGCACCACGGGATGGCGCGGCACTGCCCCACTCCGCCCTCGGGACGATAGACGTTATTAATCATGATGTGGCACCGCACGTGCTCGAGGGAGGCCGCGAACCGCCACCCTCCAAGAAGGTGTCGTGGGCTCAGCGACCTCAACCGCAGCCGCCACCACTGCTACCAATCTTCTTTTCGCCAGTTTGAGAGTACTGTTCAAGAGGATTGGCCCTGCGTGGCTCTGGGGCGTGGCTGCGCGCCCTCTGCTGGCGCGCGCGTGCGCGGCGCTGCTGGGCGGGCCCTGTGGGGACGAGAGCCTATTGAAAACACCGCCCACTGCCGAGGGTCGAGTCGACACGGGCCAAAGCGCCCCCGATGCTACGACCCAGGCCTGCTGCTACCCGCGGAGCGGCAGGCTGCGCGCATATCTCGTTTCTTTCGGGTGCGGACACCGGATGCAGAAGATTCAGGTAACTCGGTGAGCCATTCGCGCGAGTCCCCCAGTGGAGCGCGGGGGAAATTCAAGGCGCCGCATGCAATTCCCAGGGCTGCAAGCGCGCTCCCGTATGACAGGTTCGCGAAGAGGCGCCCTTCGCGGGGGCGGCGTCTTAGCGCGCGCGCAGCAGAGGGCTGGCGTCTGCAGTTCGCAGATGCACCGCCGCGTGAGAGCCAAAGACTGTCGACACATGTTTCTTTGGTGCAACCGCGCCCTCGCCTCCCAGCGTCCGGCCATTTCTACAAAATGCTCGGGCGAGTGGCCGCTCATCGTTGTCAGCGGCATGACCTCTCACCCGTAGCGGAAGCAGAACTGGCGCGCCACCGCAGTGCTGTCCGCCAATTCGCTCTGCCCCCCCCACGCAGGATGTTTCGCCAAGTCGTTCCTCTGCTCTGGAGGAGCCCTCGGTGGAAACCGATCTATCTGGTTCGCCTTGCTCGCTCCGCGGGCAAGTCTGGCAGCTTTTGACGAGCCGCCCAGATCCGGCATTACCAACCGAAGTTCAGACCGCGCTTGCCCGCAGCGCTTCAAGAAAGTCGGCCCCGTGTGGACAGCAATTGGCCACGCCGCCCAATTCGCCGTCGCTCGGCGGCCGCGGGTCGACTCGCATCTTTTCAGCGATGTTCCCTCATAGTCGAACAGGAGCCACGTGCCATGCCAGCTCGCGCAAGGCCTGCACCTCGGCGCGCCGCGCGTCCTGCGGCCTCCATGATTCCACGCGGTCCTGGGGCAGTTTTGCTGAGAGGCCATGGCGCCTCTGTTACAGAAGCTGTGCTCGGTCAGCAGGGGTGCGGGCGACGGCGCGGATGGCATTCGCTGGCGCGCGAGGTTGCGGAACTTGGTTCTTGGCCCGGGCTGTGGCTAGCAATTCGAAAGCTGCGAGCACTTCCTTGCAGAACGCGCTGTGCCCGCTGCGACGGGATCGCGAGTCGACGCCTGCCGCGCCCCCGCGCGCCGCTCGCATTGCGCCCGGGCCCGCTTGGCCAGGCCGGCGGGGCTCGCGAGTTCCGCCGGGAAGGCGCCTCCGCGACTTTTCAAACAAGGCCAAACCCCGCGAAGCTCTCCTGGACTGGCGCGCTCAGAATCGGCGCGCCCCGTCGCCCCTGTCCGGGCAGGCTTGGGCTCAATTTCGGCGGCGTTATCTGGCCGCGACTTTGCCGGCGCCGCCTGCAAAACGTGTCCGAGCCACCTGGTTGCCAACGTCGGCGCTGGCGTTTGAGCCATGGGCCGGCTAGTTAATTCCCGGCCGCGCTCGCTGACAAGTTCGCCGCGCAATTGCCGGGTGCCTGAAGCGGCCGCGGGAAGAGATTGACGAGGTAGTGGCGACGATGGAGATTCGACGGGGCCCCGCGCGCCGGCTGGGGGCCGCGACCTGCGAATCGCAGTGGCCTGACTCGCCGCTGGCGCCCGAAGTGCCTCGGACTCCAACGCGGCCCGGCAGCCCCCTCGCCCCGCTGGGAATGGCGGGGGTGCAGGAAGAGAGAGGGAGAGGGGGGGGCGCCGATCCCCAATCGACTCTCCGCGACTGCGCCAGACCGCAAACGCGGCGCCCTGGCTCAACACCGCGACGACATGTGAGGGTTCATTCATTGCTTTTTTTTCGGCGGACGTCACGCGCGCGAGCTGCTCCCGACGTTGGGGCCAGCCACTGCCGCGCAAGCGCTCGGAACCCGCGTCCCAATAATTCTCTCGCGGCGCCAGCGTCGTCGCGCTTCCTGGGCTGGCCATCGGCCAGATTTTGTTCTGACGTGGCTCTCCAGGCGGGGAGCTGGTGGCCTTGGTCCGCTGCCGCGAACAAAATTTCGGATTGCAACTCACCCCCATCAGCTCTTCTAGAGCAACCGCGCAAAATCGCCCCGAGCGCGACGGCGGAACCGGCGGCGTTCGAAATCCCGGCGCCGCTGCCGCGAATTCGGTGGAAGACCTGCCACAGGCCGCGCGCGGCGGCAATCGGCTCCCACGTGCTGATTTGCGCCTCGCGGGGCTTCGCCCAATCCCTCGGGCGCCGCGGGGCCGCCGCTCGAGCGAAGACCCGCGCGGGCGCAATTGCTGCAACCCGCGTGACCGAGGCGCCGCCCGTGGCACCAATGCAAAACCAGCCGCGGCAATGCTGGGCGCGTCGCCAACCACCGCTCGAGCGCGCGGCGCGCGCGCCCGGGCAGAGAGCTTGCTCTCCCGCGCGATTCGCGGAAGAGCGGCGCCAGAAGAACACGCGCGCTGCAATTGAGTGTGTTCGCTCAGCCCCAGCTCAGCCCCCGGGCGAGCTCCTGTGCTGCCGTCGGAGACGGCCCCCCGCATCGAGAACAGACATAACGTTGCGAGTCCACTGCTCGCAGTTGTCCCGGGATCTTCTAAATCGTTTCGTCGAAGCATTCGCTGAGAGACACTGCAATTTGGAGCGCGGTGGCGGCTTGCCCGTCGGTGACAGCCTCGCTGTCGTCGGGCTCCCAGCCCAGTGGATCCTGCATGGTGGACCTCGTCGTGTCCGCGGGACCTGCGGGGCGATCAGGGCCATCGGCGGAATGTCTATCGTCGCTTCGGTCCGCGCCGGATAAGTCATCGACGAACTGGCGGTGCGCGTCCCAGAACAACGCCCGGGGCATTCCCTGGAACGCCGCGCCAACCCTATGCCGCGAGCGCGCGCTAGAGAGCGCCCCGAACGGGCGCGAGAAGAGCTGCGGTGCGTGCATTCTCCGTGCCGACTCCGGCGTGAGTGCGACTGCAAGTGAGAGGTCCTCCCGGCGCGCGGCCGAAGTCTCACGGGCTCCTACGTCGTCGTCTTGCCGCAAGGCGATGCGAACAGGCCGCTGGGTCCCTGCTCGGGCCAAGGTTCGGCGGATCCCCAGTTGTGCATTCAGGTCTTCAGGTTGGATCTTTCCACCAATTGCGCCGTTAATGCCGGGAAAGTGGAAGTCGTCGATGGCCCAGATCTTCCGGGCGCGCGATTCCCTTATTCACATCCAGCCTTTGTCGGCCGGCAACCTAGGCGAGCGCGACGTCAGGGGGCAATTCTTCCAACTGCGCCCAGCAAGCTTTCCCCCGCGCAGCTTCAGCTGCGCATTTCTGCTGCGGCCCTGTTTTAATCGCAGGGTCGCGGCTCGACGCGCGATTCAATTCGACCAAAACTGCGCCGTTGCCCTCGGGCGCCTGCAGTAGTTGCGCCCCCCTCGAAGCGCAGACTCCCCGTTCGCGCGGCTCCGGAGTGCGAGGGGCGG